TAAAACAGCCAGCTCTGGAGAAATTCAGCGAGTCTGGCAGCATTTATGAAGAGGGCGAAACATAGTGAACAGTTTGGACACCCTTTAATTCTGTTTTTGTCTCTGCCTATGCTGAGTTCCTCCAGCAATCTCTCTTTTGAACTACTGGTCTGTGTCTGTATGTGTGTGTCTGTGTCTTGCAAAGAATATGATCTTTACTTGGTATCAGCTTCAAACTACCTGCTTCCATCTCCATGTCTTTGTACATCTCTGCTTTTATCTCAGCTTATCAACACTGGAGTCCTGACTCTCAGCTCTGCAACCTCTAGATTTGAGGGCTCCAATGCTGCTCCTCTCTGGCCTTCCGATTCTGTTAATGTGGATATATCGAAAAGTTGGATCCGAGCTCAGACACAGTCCCGTTCACTGCCACCAGTAAACCATCCCCAACCCCACCACTTGCTCTTGGCTCTTGGCAGTGGCTGGATTAGAAAATTCCCCGCCTTGTCTACATAGTGTGTGCTGCAGAACAGAGTTCATGGTCCAATCCCCGTAGCGGCCGTGCTGGTTCATAGAGACCCTACCTCCTCACCTCACCCCAAGCTTCTACAGTGATTACCATCAAGCTATCCATAATCAATGAAAGGTTGATAGATTAGGCCTGTACGTACACATTGAAGTTTAGAAGAATAAGAGATGAAACACAAGGTTTTTAAGGGGATTGACAGGGTAGATACGGAGAGGTTGTTTCCCCTTGTGGAAGAGTCTAGGACCAGAGGGTATCATCTCAGAATGAGGGGGTAGCATATTTAAGACAGATGACGATGAATTTCTTCTCTGAGGGTAGTGAATCTGTGGGAATTCTTTATCACAGAGGGTTGGCTAATTAAGTATATTCAAGGCTGAGATAGACATACCTTTAATCAGTAAGGGAATTGAGGTCTATAGGGAAAAGGCAGGATAATGGAGTTGGGAATGATCAGCTCAGACATGATCTCATTGAATGGCAGAACAGGCTTGATGGGCTGGATGGCTTACTTCTGCTCCCGTGTCTTATCGTAGAATCCCTGCAGTGTGGAAGCAGGCCATTCAGCCCATCAAGTCCACACCGATCCTCAGAAGAGCATCTCACACAAATCCCCCTGACCCCCCCCCCCCATCCCTGTAACCTTCCCATTTTCCCCTAGCCCCCAGCCTGCACATTCCTGGACACTATGGGGCAATTTAGCATGGCCAATCCACCCTAACCTTACACATCTTTGGACTGTGGGAGGAAACCGGAGCACCCGGAGGAAACCCACACAGACACGGGGAAAGTATGCAAACTCCACGCAGTCAGTTGCCCGAGGGTGGAATCGAACACCAGTCCCTGGCGCTGTGAGGCAGCAGTGCTAACCACTGAACTACCATGCCACCCCTTCTGGTCCTTTGCGGACTGTGACTCCTTACACCATTTACAAAGCGGGAGGCGATGGCCTAGTGGAATTATCACCTGGGCTGTTAATCCAGAGACCCAGACAAGGTCTGGGGACCTGGGTTCGAATCCCACTGCGGCAGATGGTGGACTTGAATTCAATAAAATATCTGGAATTAAGAGTCTAATGATGACCGTGAATCCATTGTCAATTGTTGGAAAAACCCATCTGGTTCACTGATGCCCTTTAGGGAAGGAAACTGCCGCCCTTACCTGGTCTGGCCTATGTGTGACTCCAGACCCACAGCAATGTGGTTGACTCTGAACTGCCCTCTGGGCAATTAGGGATGGGCCATCAGTGCAGCTTAGCTAGCGACGCCCTCATCCCGTGAATGAATAAAAATAAAGAAAAAAATCACCTCCATGGTGTTGCCTAGGAGAGAAGATCAATCTCCTAGAAACTGCTGAGAGCAAAACTCCAGAGACAGTAACAAAGGGGAGAGTTTTCCTCTTCTAAACAATACATCGATATTTATTGATCAGAATATTGAAATGGTTTATACTGTGTGGAACAGTTGTCGGAAACCTCCCAGGCACATGGCTGATCAACATGGGTGATTCTAATCTCTCTGTCGTCTCCTCCACTCTCACGTTACCCTTCCATTCTGACCTCTTGTGCATTGAAGATCTTCACCAGCTGTGACATTGCTGTTTAAACACTTGGCATTGGCATTCCTGCTGTAACCCGATTTCCCCCCTCCTCCCTTTTGAAGTCAACTTATAACCCACCTTCCCCAAATATCCCTCATCAACTCAGTATTGAATTGACTTTACTCTTCACTCCTGTAGAGAGCCGGGAGTGTCTTACCACAATAAGGATGCCTTGGAAATGCCCATTTGTTGTTGATGGCCCGGCCTGGGAGAACTTCTCGGTTGGAGAAATGGTGAAATCTCTCCTGTCCCTCCCCAATGTGTGCGATCACCAACACTCTAGCTGCCCTGGTTAATGAGCCACTTCCATTCCTAGTGAGGTGGAGGGTCACCACTAACTTGACCCCCCTGCAATATTTTACCCACAATTCTACACAGACGTACTCTGAGACACCGGAGCCAGAACTGAATGAACCGTTTCGAGCAAGGCAAAAATGATCAAAGACATTGATTTAAATTGTTCCCACATCAGTTGGTGCATTTATGCACAGATCTCCTCCCTAGACACCCTACCCCAACCCCGACTGTGCTAAGTAAGCTGACCCCAGTAGGAGAAGCTGTTCTTTTCCCCTCTGCTCAATTATCATTAAGTCAGTGAAAAAAGAAACTCAAAATTGGATGTGATGATAATTACAATGTCAATTTGCTGTAAACCCACTTCTGGAAAGTGATGTTTCCAATACGACCAACATTTTAAGCATTTAATCAGATGATTCCCAGCAGAATATCTTTAGTGAATGAATAACGATTAACACGGAGACATAGACAGGATATCACATACCTACATGTGGGACATCTTTCTCCAAGATGGGCTCTTGCAAGGGAATCTGTAATTGGATCTGACTGCTCTGCATCAACATTGTTAGTGCAATCTCAATCAACAAGTGGGAATCAGAAAGCTTCCCGATCAGATCCGGAGTCAGGCAGGGCTGCCCACTCCCTCCTGCCTTGTTTGTGTGTTGTACAGAGCCTTTTGCTGGGTCTATCAGGAAGGATGCAAGCCTGAGAGGGGCAACTATTCCAGGCAGCGGAGGCCTGCAGGTCAACGCCTCCCTGTACATGGATGATGTTGCCATTTTTTGCTCAGATCCACTGTCAGTGCGCAGACCCATGAGAATCTGAGACCAGTTCGAGCTGGTCTCGGGAGCCAAGGTAAATGGAGGCAAGAGTGAGGCAATGTTTTTTTGGGAACTGGGCCGACCGATCCTCTATCCCCTTCACCACCAGGAGAGACTGCCTGAAGTATAGGAAAGATGCTTGAGAGGAACCCAGGTGTGTGCCAAAACTTGGAAGGAACGTATCACCAAGGTGAGGCGGAAACTGACTTTTAGGAAGACTGTTCCCCCTCCATTGTAGGTAAAAACCTGGTCATCAGGTGTGAGGCATTCCCTCTCTCTCTGTTGTTGTACATGGCGCAGTTCTAGCCCATTCCCAGAAACTGTGCCACTGCAGTCACCTGAGCCATTTTCTATTTCATCTGGAGGTCCAAGCTGGACTGTGTGTGTAGGGACACTCATGTACAAAGCTCTGGTTAAGGAGGGTGGGGTGCAGAATGTACCCAATGTCACCCTCGCCCTGATGGCCACCTTTGTACGCGACTGCATCAAGCTGTGCGTAGACCCTCAGTACGCAAACGCCAAGTGTCACTATGTACTGAGGTTCTACCTGTCCCTGGTTTTGCGAAGGAGAAATTTGCAAAGAAAAGCACCTTTGACCACAAGTTCATCAGGAAGTGGTCAGCATGTAGCGTCCTCGAGACCCTGCAGGAAAAGGAGAGGGTGGATCCTGTTGGGCTGTTCCTGAGCAGACTGTCAAAGTCATTTAAGAGAATGCCTCATCACAAGAACTTACCAACAAGCACCAAGACATCGCTTGGCAGGTGATGAGAAGGGCACTACCTGTGAGATCCTGGATGTACGCCTGGTCAGCCTGTGCCACTGCGCACTGCCCTTGAAGTGACTGCGATGGTGAAGAGACTGTGTGTGTGTGTGTCTCAGCTACATCTAGAATGTGCCTTTGCAAAGGAAGTCTGGAGAAAGTTGCCGTGGTTTTTTTTTTTTTTTTGTCGTCCCGAGCAGCTCTGTGATACAAAACTCTGTGCTCTACGGTCTGTTCCCAGGGATGCAGACTGAGACAAACATCGACCGCAGCTGGAGGACCATCAATTCGGTGAAAGAAGCTCTTTGGTCTGCCCGGAACCTTATTGGTGTAAAGAGTTGACCCCGACTGGGTGTTTGCAGACTGGCACATTCCAAGGTCCAGAATTATGTGCTGAGGAATGCACTAAAGCGTGGGGTAGCTTTGTTCAGGATAGTGTGGAAACTTCTTGAGTCTTGTTGGAGCTGTACCCATCCAAGCAAGTGGAAAGTACTCCACCACCCTCCTGACTTGTACCTTCTCGATAGAGGACAGGCTTTAAAGACCCATTTGCTGCAGAATCTCCTGTCTGAAACCTGTGCTTGTTGTTACAGTACTTCTTTATGGGGCTGGTTAATTCTTTGTACCTGCTTTGTTCCATTTCCAATTTTCAATCTGTGAATGAGAGCAGGACAGAGTTAGTTCAGAGGTTCATTCCTTCCTCCAAGTAATATTTTTTCATCTCTTTTAAGCTGGAAATGGGTATGGCCTGCCATCTGGACATTTAGGGACAGAAAATAATTGCTGGCCCAGTCAGCAATGCCCACATCCTTTTTTGTTTTGAAAGGCATCTCTGATCCCTGACGGTCTGCATCAAGATCTGTGGAGGGTGACAAAAAGCAGGCGTCGCAAAAGTGGCGAGGGAAGAAATAATGTCAGAAATTGGGAAGGTCTGGGAGCCGCAACAGGAATGAATAACTTTGGCAACGCTGCGTAGAAGACAGAACAGCTAACCTTCTCCCTTTTTGTTGATTTTTAGGGATCCTCTTCTGACCAAGTTCCTCGCATGATGAGCAGCAACAGAGCAAGTAAAGCACTGAAGGTAAGAGGCAACTAGCTCTTGGTAGAGGAAGGACCAGCCTACTCTTCCCAACTTCCCCACTCTTGATTAAGTCTTCACTTCCGTCATGCCAAATGGTTTTTGACAATAAATACTGTCTGGCACATAACACCCAAAAGCAAATAAAAGAGATGAGAAGCATTGTTGTTATGTATAATGGGAATTGGGTTGACCCTTTGGGAATTTTGTGTGTGGAAGATGAACAAATATTGATTTGCTTCTATCGGTATATTCTATGATGTGAGGGCAGACAAAGGGGTTGGGTCGATTAGAATTTATTAGCTTGGCTCCTTAGAGAGAGTAGCGGAGGAATGGAATAGAATGGTAACTTATTGTCACTTGTATTTTACAAAAAATGCAGTGAAAAGTGTTTAAATCACCATAATCTGGCAGCTACAGGATGGGTGAATAGTCTATAGCTTTTGCAACAGAGATTGGGGAACATGCACAAAGAATTGTGCTCCCTTGGTTAAAAGTGCGAGGTGGAATTTTAGCTGGGATACTTGGGTTGTCGGGTTAAAAGCAAAATGCTTGAAATTCAAAAAAAAATAGAAAATGTCAGAAAACCTCAGTCAGCCAGGCAGTACCTGTGAAGCGAGAGAAACGGAGTTGATGTTTCGAGTCAGATATGACTCCTGTTCAGAAGTTGAGATTGTTGCTTTGAACAGATTGAGTTTTTGCCCAGTGGAGTTTAGAGGAATGGGGGCACGATCTTATTGAAATATTAGTTACTGAGCGGCTCCAACAGACTAGACATTTGAGGTGATGTTTCCCCAGTTGGCAGAGCTTGAGGACACAATTTAAGAACAAACAATCTTGTTTTTAGGACCAAGACGAGGAGAATGTTGTTTTCCTCTTCAGGAGGCTGTTAACCTGTTGCACTCTCTTTCCCAGGAAACAGTGTAGGCCGGGTCATTCAATTAAGGCCGAATTAGAGAGATTTTTGTTCGATGTTTGTATGGGACAGGAGGGGGCTAGGCAGGAAACATGTGTAGGGGCCGCAACCAAATCAGTCACAATCTTATTAAATGGTGGAGTGGCTCAAAGGACCAAGTGGCTGATATTGTACACGTTGACCTCGCAGATTCATCCAGCACACAAGATCCCTCCCCTTTCATGCCTGTGTTGGAGACACCCAAATATTAAACATGCCAGGACAGGGAGCAGGCTGAATGGCCTGCTTCTGTGCTGTTTTTGTCACTGTAAGATACTGCAATCTCTGCTTATTCCACTATTCCTGTGGGCAGTGCACACCGGATCGTACAGCAAGCTGAATTTAAAAAGAGATCTCCTTGTCTCCGAATTTCTTCTCCTGCATTAATTCTCGGCGAGATTTTTCCCTGAGTGACCCTTGGTGGTGTCGGGTGGAGGGTGGGAGGTGAGATGTGCTAAGTGGGTGATGAACACACACCATCAAGAGCCCCTCACCAGATCATCCACTAGTCCGCTCGCTGAAAGTTGATTGGTGAGCAAGGGTGAGCATCTCTCCCTATCGTGGGCCTTGACACCGATCACCCGGGTCGCTGGGAGCTGCCGACCAATTGGAGTCTCTATTCTGAAGTCTATCGATCAAGGTGGGGTGGGGGGGACACTCAATTTGTTTTCTTCTTGATTGAAGGCACGAGCAGGGAGTGGCTTTTAGAGTCCACACCTTTTTGCCCACCATCTGTTCCCTTGATTGCCCCCAGATCGGGGCAGTTGGAAATGATCCCGTGACCTAACTGAACCTGCTTCCACCACACTCCCTAGCTGAGGCAAATCACGTGCATTCACAAGAGAGCTAAATAAAGGACAGAAACAGAAGGTGGTGTTGAGGGAGTTGGATAGGGCAAGGTAAACAAAGTTCCTGTAAGAGCACAGAAACCAGCATGGCACTGCTAGGCTGAATGGCCTGTTTAATTATTGTGAGCATTTTGATTGGATAGCATGTGCTCATAAATGGCAATTTCTGATTCAGTCACGACTGACACAGGGAGGAGCTCTGACCCTGAAATGACCCCGTGATGATGTATTGAGCTGCACATCACTGGGTGTAAGTACCATTGAGTGGGCGGAGTTAGATCAGTTAAACCAGAGGAGCACTTTGGAAAGCACTAGGCCAAACTATACCAGAGTAAACTACTCTCTAGGGGAGAGAAGTGCAGAACAGAAATTGGATAGATTAGCTATTACCTGCTATAGCTGTAAGTCAGAGTCTGGTATACCTATGATTACCATGTTCAGGATGGTATTAATGGCTAATAAACATTGTTAGATTTCCCCTCGTCAATCAGTGTCTAAAGAACCCAAATTCATATATATCATAGAATCCCTACAATGTGGAAGCAGGCCATTCGGCCCATCGAGTTCACACTGACTTTCTGAAGAGCATCCAACCAGACCCACCCCATACCCTACCCCTGCATTTCCCACCCTAGACACTATAAGAAGTTTAGCATAGCCAATCCACCTAAACTACACATCTTTGGACTGTGGGAGGAAACCCGCACAGACACAGGGAGAATGTGCAAACTCCACACAGACAGTCACCCGAGGGTGGAATCAAACCCAGGTCCCTGGTGCTGTGAGGCAGCAGTGCTAACCACTGAGCCACTGTGCCGCCCACAAAGGGAAAAGGGTCTCCAAGACAACTTCTCAGGGGTCAACATGCAAAAGGTCCTATTATGTGCTTTCTGCCTTAAAATTTTTGGCCCTTTTTGATTTTGGTCTGCAAAGGATTAGGTGGATTGGCCATGCTAAATTACTCCATAGTGTCCAGGGATGTGTGGATTAGCCATGGTTACAACCCTATGCATGGTTACGGGGATAGGGGTGAAAGGGGCTGGGTCGAGGTGGGATGGTCTTCAGAGGGTCAGTGCAGACTCGATGGGCCAAATGTCCTCTATCTACACTGTAGGGATTCTATGATTTGAACCTTAGCGCATACTCCGACTGAATGTGCAGGTTTGACGAATTTGCCACAGTAAATGCAGGGTTACAGGGACGTTCTTTGGAGGAATGGTGCAGACTCGATGGGCCAAATGGCCTCTTTCTGCACTATAGCAATGCTACGGTTTGAACATATTCAGCACATACTCAGACACAGAGTCCTGTGTCCTGGGATGTGCGGGTTAGGTGGATTAGCCATGGGAAATAATGGGGTTACAAGGATAGGGTGGGATGTTCTTCGGAGGGATGGTGCAGAACCGATGGGCCAAATGGCCTCTTTCCGCCCTGCAGGGATTCTATCACTTCATGGTTAGCACGTATTCAAACTGAATGGGTCCAATGTCCCAGGATGTGCAATTAGCCAGGGTAAAAAGCAGGGATGCTCTTTGGAGGGATGGTGCAGACTCGATGGGCCAAACGGCCTCTTTTTTTCCGCCCTGTAGGGATTCTATGATTTTACGCCGGCTGTCGTTTCTGCCCGCAGATTAAGAGAGAGTCGGGTGAGAACACTCCAGTGCTGATGGACCAGGAGCTGGTGTCGATGTCTGTGCGGGAGCTGAACCACCACCTGCGCGGCCTCTCCAAGGACGAGATCCTGAACCTGAAGCAGAGGCGGCGGACCCTGAAAAACCGCGGCTACGCGGCCAGCTGCCGAGTGAAGCGGGTGACGCAGAAAGAGGAGCTGGAGCGCCAGAAGGCTGAGCTGGAGCAGGAGGTGGAGAAGCTTGCTGCGGAGAACGCCGGCATGAAGACTGAGCTCGACGCCCTGCGCTCCAAATATGAGGCGCTGCAGAGTTTCGCCAGGACGGTGGCCTGTGGGCCCATCACCCCTACCAAGGTCAACACCACCAGTGTCATCACCATCGTGAAATCGTCCAACTTCTCCTCGCGCTAGCGTTCAGGCCGGCTCTGCCATCTTCCTTTTTCAGCAGAAGGGCCACTGTCCTTGGGGTGTGGGGGGAGGGGAAGGGTGGGGAGGGGAAGGGGAAAATTTCCGTGGCTTGCAAGGTTTAAGGGCCTTCTGCTTCCAGAACGAGTCAAGGTTTACGTGGCGCAAAAACGTTTTAGTTTTCTCGTCTTTTCAGTCATTTTTTTTTTAATTCTCCGCCCCCCCCCCCCCCCCCCCCACCACCTTTCCAAACAGACCGTGCTGCCACCGCAGGAAGTCAGCGGTGGCCGTTTTGGTAGGGGGGGGAGGGGCAGCTGGGGACTGGGGTTGGTTGGGGGAAAGGGGGAAGGGGGGGAATGGAAGGAGAGCCCAGCACTGAATATTAGGAGTGTCTTTACTGGAACTGGCTCCCAAGGTTGTCGAATAACTTTGAGCACAGGCTGCAAGCTCGCTAGGCCTCTGCCTACCACCTCGGTCCTGCCCCAAGGCAAAAACCAGAAATACTCAGAAACGAACCTACTGAAGCTCCATTCCTTTTTCTGAGGCGTACAAAACCAGAATGTGTCGTTCACAAGTCTAAACAGTTCCTCAGAGCGGGGGTCGCATGTGACAAAAAATGATGCCAGAAATACATGGCCCTCAGTGACGAAAATGGGTCCACTGCCTCGATAGCGAACATGGTACAGGCGATTGCCACTCACACACCCCCTCAATTTCAGTCTTTGAAAATGCCTTCCTCAAAAGGCAATGGCCTAGTGGTATTATCACCAGACTGTTCATCCAGAGACCCAGATAATGTTCTGGGGTCTGGGGTTCAAATCCCACCATGGCAGATGCTGGAATTTGAATTCAGTAAAAATCTGGAATTAACAGTCTAATGATGACCATGAATCCATTGCCAATTGCTTTTTAAAAAAAAACATCTGGTTCACTAAAGTCCTTTTTGGGAAGGAAACTGCCATCCTTACCTGGTCTGGCCTGCATGTGACTCCAGACCCACAGCAATGTGGTTGACACTGAGCTGCCCTCTCAGCAATTTGGAATGGGCAATCTATACTGGCCTGCAGCAACCTGTGAATGAAATAAATTTTACAAAACATCTTTAAATATTTTTAAGGCAGAGGGAGATTCTTGATTACTTGAGGGATGGAAGATTATTGGGCGGGGTCTGTATGAATGTAGAATTGAGGTTAAAATCAGATCTTATTGAATGGCGGAGCAGGCTCGAAGGGCCGAATGGCCTACGCTTGTCCATAAGTTCACGGTTGAGCTCAATCCACACACAGCAGCCTTTCCAACTTCCCCACTAATGCCTTTGGTTAACAAAACTCTCGGATTTAAAATTGGCAACTGACCTAGTCTCAACAGAAGTGAGGGACCTGCTGATGTGAACCTTGCTGCTTTTTTAGAAAAAAATACATACTGTTGGTAGCCAATCTCCAGTGTGCGTATTCGGGGATGCCCCTCACCCTCCTTGGTTACAGCCATGACAGCACCTTTCAGAACTAGGCCTCGTTTCCATTTCAGTGCATATGGTTTGCAAACCATTAATCCCTGATGGAGTGACTCTTTTGAGGGGCAAGCATGCCTAAAATGTAACTTAATGAGCTGAAACCTCACCTGTGCTCATAACTGTGTGTGTATATGTGTGCCCGTGTGTGTTTTATGTCGTCTTTTTGAAGTAGCAGGCCCAGTTTTGATTTGATGGACAGGCCGTTGCCATGGATCTGAATGGATGAACTGAGGACAGGTAGGCCCCACTGCAGAAGCTGGATGTTTGTTGTCTTAACCGTCTCCTTGCGCAAATGCCTCTTTGTCTTAATTAGTGGACTTAATTTATGGCGCTTTACGTAAAGCAGAGAGAGAAAAAAAGCAGATGATTGTGGCTACTTCTGGTAACCAGAAGTGATGTCACCGGTCCTTCAGAAAGCAAGAACAAAGCCCTTCCATTTTGTTTTCACCTTGGATTGCTGGTAATAGAACAGAGCAGACAAATTAAATTGACCACATCTCCTCAGCTCGTTTGCAGTTGTAGTGGATGCTGAGAAGCAGTGATTGACAAGGTATCAATGTGCCAAGAAAATCAATACATGGGGAATTTCCTGTTTTTTTTTGGTGTGAGCTAATGCCAACTGCTGGCAGGGTAGTGTGAACCCTCATTCTCCTTGAGGAAAATGCAAGCCATCTTGTCAGAAGCAGAAACAAATCACTTAAAAAAAACTCAGTCGGTCTGGTAGCATCTGTGGAGAGGAGAAGGCAGAGCTAACGTTTCAGGTCCAGTGATCCTTCTTCAGAACTTCAGTTAGCTCTGATTTCTCTCCACCGATGCTGCCAGACCTGCTGAGTTTCTCCCAGCAATTTCTGTTTTTGTTTCTGATTCCCAGCATCCACAGTTCTTTTGGTTTTAAGAAAGTTCACTTTTTTTGTGCCTTGAGGTCTGCCGTTTTCGTTGTGTTGGGTATGGGGAGGTGTTATCAGTAGCTGGATGTCAAATTTACAATCACAAGACTATTTCAAAGGGAGAATGGGATGTTTTGTGTCCTGTTGGTGTGAAAAGATAACAGCGATTGTGATTACACACATGCAAATTATGCAAAGGAAGGTGGACACTAAAATAAGCCGTTGGGTGAATGCGCTCTGCAGAGGTGTGGCAAGCAAATAATGCAGGATTAACGTTGTTAGTGGTTCGCAATGATCCAAGACTGTTGTTCCCTCCTGTAGTTATGCTAACTGCATTTTCCCTTCATTGTACACAACAGACATAAGGCTTGTAGGGTGATCAGGTTGTATAAGCTAGATATTCTGGGACAATGTCTAGTTCCTGGCTGAAATTGGACGGATTGGAAGAGTTGATGGGAAGATGGGAAGGCTGCTAAAGCTCGGTGAGTAAGCAGACCACTGGGCCCAACGTTGAACCAGATAAACTACGGTTTTCAACCAAACTGCTGTGTGCTGTATCCCGGCAAATATCATTGTTGTAGCAGGAGGGGTTCTAGTCCATCATCAACACTGACAGCTGCTTCCTCAATGGCAAAGAATTAACCCCTTAGTTTCCAGCTAGTTAACTGTTACTTCATAGTCCCCCTTAATGAGATACTTGAACATCCATCCTTCCCAAAGACCACCACATCATTGTGCCTCCTTGACCTCGCAGCTTCTCCCGCTGTGGAGAGCGGTTTTTGGCAGTGACTCAGCTTAACCTTCCACCTCCCCGCCGCTGCCCCCCCCCACCAACCAACAATGCCCACCCCGCCCCCACCTCCAGCCCTGACCTGACCAGCCCCAGGAATTGTCCCCTTGGGCCTGTCGATGTTGGTCAATGCTGTTTGTGCATTAGCTGCTGCGCGCTCTCTCAGTCAGTGTCACGGCGAGACCTGAAGCCATTAGCCCCCTACGATCACAACAAGGTGAAGGCACTGTGTCTGGGTGGGCCACCGCAGAACTCGAAACAGCTCTCTGCTCGAAAGATATTAAAGCCCTCAGTGGTCAAGGGTGTTTCCTCCACTTGAACTGAAGATCAAATCTTTGTGAGGTATGTGAGTGTCGGTGTGGGAGTGTGTGTGTGGAGCGGGGGTGGGGGCAGCTAATCTATTTCCAACAGGAGCAGTGGCAGACCATTCGGCCCATTGAACCTGCTCTATCGTTCACTGTGATTGTGACGGACCTCTGGCCTCCCCTCCACTCTCTCCTGTTCATTCCTCTATATGCCCTGCAAGGTTAAACATCTCTCCACCTTGGCTGTGGCCAAGCTTTCACAAGCCCTTGAGGTAGAGAATTTGAAAGATTCCAAGCTCCTGTGAGTGAAAATAAATATTCTTCTCATCCCAGTCCTAAGAAGCTTCTGGAACCGCAGCAGCACGTTTTTTATATATATACAGACAGTGATTTGTATGTGGAATGAACTGCCAGAGGAAGGTGGTAGATGCAGGCACAGTTACAACATTTAAAAGCCATTCGGACAGGTACATGAACAGGAAAGGTTTAGAGGGATATGGGCCAAATGCAGGGACTAGTTTAGTTTGGGAACATGGTCGGCATGGACAAGTTGGACCGAAGGGTCAGCTTCCATGCTGTACAACTCTATAAGTCTAGTGGCATAGCTGCAGTAGTAAAGAGTGTATTGTACCTGTAAGGCTGAGATGTGACTTAACTAACAGAGCAGGCACTTGGGTCGACGCTGTAGAGCTTCCGAGACCTGCGTGGAGGAAATACCCCTGAAAGGCGCATGTTTATTCTGAGGGGAGGGGCATGTTGCCCTGAAGAAATATTGTAGAAGGAATGTGTAAGTCGTTGTGTGCTATTGTGTAGGTTTGGTTTGGTGACGAGTTTGTTGCTCTTTTGAGAGGTTTGGAGTTGGAGGTTTGCAGAAGGGACAGAGAGAGAGAGAGAGAGAGAGAGAGAGATATGGGTGTTCCAGCAGCTGAACAAATGCTGTGAACTAGTGAGGGAAATCTGCACTATTTAGTTCCTGTTGACCAATTAAGGCAGGGAGTGAGGGATCTGAAAGGAAGCATCATGTTATTTTTCTCCTGGTCTCTTGACCCACCATTTATCCTGACGTTAACAACCTCGAACAAGATTAACAGGCCATCCAGCTTCCAGATATTTCTGAGACTTGCCTGTGAAAGCGACAAGAGTTCAAGAAATGAGTCATTGGCCAGGAAGCACTGAGGATGTGACAGGCACTCCTAACATTCCAAGTATTTTGTGGTGAAGGCTGCCTTGGTTATTGCTTTTTTTTTAAAAAGAAGAAAAGGTTTCATTTACATAGCACCTTTCGTAGCTTCTGGACATTTTGCAGCCAGAGAAGTCGGTGCGATCGCTATCGTGATGCATGGTACAGCAAGCTTGCGGTGGTCGGATAATCCTATCTTTCTTTTTTTCTTCTTCTTGTGTGAGATGTTGGTTGAGGGATAAATGTTGGACTGAGCACCGGGGGAGAATCCTCTTCTGCAGAATGGTGCTGCAGGACTTTATACGGCCACCTGAGGAAGTGGGATGGGGTCTTGCTTCAACATTTGCTTGTGACATTGGGGCCTGTGACAGTGCAGCATTCCCTCAGTAGGGTACCAAGGTGATATTTCACAAGTCCTCGTAAAACACGAGATCCTTACTAAGGTTGTTCCTAAAAGATGAAAGGGATTTTGTCACGTTTTTGTGTCTCTGGGTGTCGAAGTGACTAAAACAGCGCCGTATTTTTAAAACAAAACACAACAGAGGGCCAAGTCTGATTTGTATTTTGGTTGACGTTTCAGCAGTGCGTTGAGGATAGACATAATGGACCTGAAACAGGACGAACTGGGCAAAATATTGTCTTTGGATCGGGATCTTACGTCTAAGTGTTACACCTGCAAGTTTGTGTATTTAATGGATTGGTATGTTGTGAATGTGGCCAGATGTCTTTGTGTGCTTATCAGAAGTTGCTGCTTAGTGGGAGTGAGAGTTATGGTGGGAGGAGAAATGTCAGTGGAATTGGAAGTTCATAAAAAAGGTGCTTATTACACCAGGGTCCGAGTTAAATTAAGAAGTCACGGTCTTGTGGTTCAGGAGACCAAGGTAGGAGCGAGAAAGGAGGGGTTATTCGATGAATCAAGAAGTGATGAGATATAGGTTGTAAGAAGGTGAGTCGAGAGGGACTGGGAGTTCCACATCTCAGAACTCCTGGGAAAAAGGAGGGTAACCCAGTGGAATGAATCCTGTTCTTTTTATTTGTACAGGGATGGGTGTAAATGGTTGGGTTTATGCAGCATTTCTCCTATATTCATAACAAGCTGCAATATTTGACCTGTGTGGACGTGTGGTCTGCAGAATCTGAATTGAAACCGGATTTTTTTCTGTTAATCACCTGGTACATAAATTGTCAACAGAAAACTAGTGCATGTTTACAGCTGCTTTCAAGAGCTGGGAGACCTTCCCATCCTAGAGTCATACAACACGGAGACAGACCCTTCGGTCCAACTCGTCCACACTGACCAGGCATCCCAATCTGACCTAGTTTCCACACCCCCTAGGCCGTCCTTCCACACAACAAAGAAGAAATGTAATTTCTTCAAGCTGCGAATTGATTATTCTTTGTAACACCTATCCCAACGGTGGTCCATCAAAGGGAAAAAACTTTTTGCCTTATTGCCTCAGCTCAGAAACAAATGGTTATTGCAAACAAAAAGGGTTAATCTGTAAAATCACTGATTGCGGGAAATGTAGGGTTATAGGGTACGGAGGTGAGTCTGGGTGGGGTTGCTCTTTTGGAGAGTCGCTATGGACTTGTTGGGCCGAATGGCCTCTTCCCACAGCGTAGGGATTCTGTGGAAATAGTCTGTGGTTTTGACCGTGGTGAGAGAACAGCTTCGGATCTCGAAGGAGTGAGGCCGACCCTTCAGGTCCTCTGCTGAGTCTCTGTGGCATTGGCTCTCATGTTGTTGTAGTTTGTACATTGTTGCTAGCATGCACTAAAACTACGCCTCGTTCGAGACTAGAACTGCCGATCATGAGACCAGCAAGTGATTTCCCAAAGCACCCAGGATCAAACAGGCTCTAGGGATTGCTAGCCTAAAAGAGAATAGTGGCTGTAAACCTACCCCACAGGGAGCGATAGTGCAGATGGCCACGATGTGATCAACATAGAAACCCTATGGTGTGGTCGTTCAGCCCATCGAGTCTGCACTGACCCTCCAAAGAGCATCTAACCGTATCTCATAATGCAGCACTTACCATGGCTAACCCAACTAGCTTGCATGTCCCTGAACACTTGGGCCAATTTAGCACGGCCAATCCACCTAGCCTGCGATACTACGAACTGTGGGAGGAAACCAGAGCACCCAGAGCAAACCCACGCAGACACAGGGAGAATGTGCAAACTCCACAGAGACAGTCGCTCGAGGGTGGAATCAAACCCATGTCCCTGGCGCTGTGAGGCAGCAGTGCCAACCACTGAGCCACTGTACCAACCAGCACTCTCATGTCAGTAAGGAATCCCAGTGTTAAATGGTAGTGAACTGTGCCACCCTTTTGACATCATCTACTGCAGCAATTAAACCAGTGGTTGAGTCCATACAGAACATTAGATAAGAGCGAATGCTGGAAATCTGAAACCAAAGTACACAATTTCTGGAGGACTCAGCAGGTCAGGCAGCATCAAAGTTTCAAAGCATGGTCCTGAAGAAGGACTCGAAACATTTAACTCTGTTTCCTCTCCACAGGTGCTGCCAGACCTACTGAGTTTCTCCAACAATTGTCTATTTCCAATGCAGCACATTGTGTATGAGGTTCAATGACATTATCGCAAAATGTCCCCAAGTGCTTGATGGGGAA